GGGTTGAGGGTCCGGCGGCGGCCGCGCTGCAGCGCCCGGCCTCTCCCTTCTCCCCCGCAGGCAGGGGAGCACGACGTGGCACCAGGGGCTTCCTGCCTGGGACACAGCCCCACGGGGTCTCGGTGGACAGGTGAGCTCAGGCAGGCGCGGGGCTGGGAGATGTTCGTGTCTTGGCTTCTTAATCCTTTGGGCCCACTAGCAGGATCCACCGCCACTAGCAAGAACATTTGCCCAGTTGTTTCCCTCTTAAGTGTTTCCTGAAGACCACACCATCTGTATTGGGGACCTGCTGGGAGGGAGGCCACAGCAGAGTGCCGCGTATGGATTCGGCTCTTCGTAACGAACGCTGTGGGAAAGCCACCCCTGTAAAGTGGCCTCTGGCATCACTGCAGTCATGTGAATGCAGCCTTTGATGTCCAGCTCCTTTTCTTTAATGGTCTGTGCCTGTTCTGACTTGAACAAGCAACCAAAGTGTCGGTCCAAATCGCACCTTGCAACAGCCGGGCAGCGGTGAGAAAGATGCATGCTACAATTTACTGTACTTGCTCCCTTGCCAGTGTCTCCTCGTTCATCCCAGCTCTCTTGCAGCAGTAGCTGAGCTAGCGTAACTGTTCACGTTACTTGGGACATTTCGGGGAGGGGGAAGAGTACTAGAGGGAGATGACAGAGTTCATATCTTAATACTGATACAGATTGCACTTCCAAGCTGCATCCCACCAGTTAGCACTTAAAAGTGTGGCAAACCCCCCAAAACCTGTGTGTCTTTTTAATTTCAGGAGAACGCATCTTCTGATGGACACGTCGGTCTCGGAGCACCTCCTCTTGGTAAAGGTGCGTAGGCCTTTTGTGTCTGCACGCAGAAGGTACAACTCGGATAGAGAATTATAACGAGTGAAATGGTGACAGGACTTCATAACAATTAACCGGGAAGTAAAATATTTCATTAAAAAAAGAAAAGATGAGTACTCCAATTAAAAGTCCAAATTCATCATTTGCTCTTCCCCTTTTTTGCACCTGCCGTCCTCTGCATTGTAGCTATAGTCACATCTAAAGAACTCTAGCACAAAATGCCACAACTATGCGCAGGTACTAGATAGGTACTGGGAAATCTGGTCGTCACACCAGACAACAAAGCTAATCTATTTAATGACTTCTTTGCTTCCATTTTCCTGAGCAGGGACCAGATCAGCCCCCCTCAGGCCCCAGGGGAGGCGCACCTGGGCCAAGGGTCAGTGAGGATCTAGTCAGGGAACTTCTGGAGGGACTGGATATATTTAAATCAGCTGGCCCAGACGATTTTCACCCCAGAGTGCTGAGGGAATTGGCTGAGGTCTTTGCAGGAACCCTGGCACAGCTTTACGAGCA